AGAGCTCGTCCGCCTTAGGACGACGCCCCCAGACAGAGGCTACGCCCCCAGGCGCATCCCACCAGGTGTTCTCCTCAGGGATGTTCCCCAGGAAGGTGACCACCGCCGGGTCCTCCACTGGGCGCTCGTACGAGCCGCCCCCAAACCTGGGAGCCCGTTTGACCATAATTCTGGTGGCCATACCAGGAGCGTACATGAAACAAACCACACATGGCCAATAAGACTTTTCATGGCCATTTGTTTTTGGGACTTAGTCGTCCTTGACCATCCTGCACATTTTGAGCACAAACGGATGAGCCACACAAAACCGTCGAGTCGTAATCATCAGAGCATCACAACGAGTTGAGTACGCATCAAGAGCGTCCGAAACGCTTGAGCCACACATACCATTAGCCGTGAGCATCAAGAGCATCAGAAACGCTTGAGCCACAAACAAATTGTTGAGCGCTACGTAACATATAGCATCATGGGCATCAGAGCGGATATCTTGAGCCATGTACCTGGGCAGGGTTAAGGATTTAGGGTCTTTAGGGTGCTTAGGGTCTTTACGGTTTTGTTGGAAATTATCGTCGTCATTTTAACATGCACACATGCATAATACGTACGTACTTACGTATGCACATACGTACAGACATACATATGACATACATAAGAGGTAGTTGTACACTTTGCGAAGACCCTCGACTCCCTGAAAGCTGAAGCCTGAAGCGGGTCTGGGCTCGAGCTTAAAGTTCGGGCTTACGGTTGGGAGTTGGGGGTTAGACTTTGCGGTCTGGTTGCGGTTAAAACTTTATGTTCTGTTGAAGAGATTTGAAGCTGAAGTGTGCTTCAGAGCCCCAATCCTGGAATCGCTGTAACCCTAAACCCTAAATTTAACCCTAAACCCTAAACCCTGGGATCCTTAATCCAATAACCACCCTCTGTGGCCAATGTGATCTTCGACGAGTGGTGGCCTTTTGGGCCGCGACCTCATTTTCTCGGACTGCCTGGAAGCTCGACGGTAGCCCTAAAAGCCACCTTTGCAGCAAACGCTCTTCAGCAGTCCTTCGGTCGGTACATCGCAAAGTCTTCATAAGATGCTTAAGAGCATCCTCGTCCATCCACGTAGAGTAGCAGTGAGGGTTTGCATAACCATCTCTTACAAACAAGTGGTGCAACAAGTGGAGCTTTGGCCGTATGCGGTACAATCTTTTCTGTGCTTCAATGGCCTGCTCTGCCAAAGATATATAAGATCTCAAGAACAGCATGCCAGCTTCGCGGACGTTCCGCTTTTCGTCATCATTCAGCCAGCGGGATCCATTATTCGACCACAGTGAAATGCAATGATTGCTGGCCCAAAGAGCCAGCACCAACTTTCCATCCAAACCCGGGTCTGCAACGGAACTGATTTCATGCAGCACCCATTGCTGCACGACGTAGGTGTCGAAGCCAGAACTTTTCCTATTTGCGTACTTATAATTAAAAGGATTTCTGCTAAGTATATGCTTAGTACTTATATAATCACCTTCTCGTACATAAAGATTCAGAAAAACCAGAATTGCAGCCGTGGTTCAGCTCTGGGTACTTATTCGCACCCGTCCAGTTCAGTTTCCGCTTCGTCAGCTTCTTCAAGCGAAGGTTCAGCTTGTTGGCTTTGGCATACAGCTTGAGTCGACGTGTAGCTTCAGCCAGCTTAGCCGGTATGGTTCCCACACCAAAAAAACCGGCCATCATCATTACGACAATCGCCGACCCCAACAGGTCTCTTCCACAGCCCAGGTGGTAGCAATGCAAAACATCAGGAAAGATAAGGCTTAGATCAAAGCCCGCCAAACTGTGATAAGCTGGTCTGTAGGTTCAGGGTTCTTCAAGCTGAAAAAGCGTTTGCATGTACGGGGCTGTATGTAGATTTGTAAACACATGTGTCTCATCCTCAGCGCCTTTGCTCGCTTCACACATCCAGCATATCTTGCACAGGGAATGCAGCAGAAAAGGACGAGGAAGATCATTTATGGGGCTGAATGACCTATACTTCGGGATTCCCTTTCTTCATGATTACATGCTATTAAAGAACAACTGCCCAGAGAACTGTTCGTGTTGATTCGTGTTGTACTCGAACCCAAGTCGAGCCCGCCTTCTCTCGATCGGCGTACCGAGTAAAGTTGAAGGATTGTCGCAGAGCCTTCCAGTCCCCGCGAAAGCCAGCCACGAAGAAATGTAGCCGGATCACCTGGGATACATTATGAATGGAACGTGTCCGAACATTGCACCATTACACCAAATCCAAACCCCGCATACTGTATTCTTATTAAAGTACTTTTGCTTAAGCTATATAGATGGCAGTCAGAGCACAGGTCCTCCTCCCATTGAAGGCAAGTCGTGCAAAACGAGACCCTCGTTCGAAAGCTTGTTGAAGCTTTGCGTAATTTCCCAGCAGGCTGCTTGCAGAGTCAAGTTTGTACCATCACCACTCAAAACATACCTTGATGCCGGTATGATTGCACACAGGAATCGCGATGCGGCAGAGTGTTCCGGTGCCGGGTGCAGGTCACTTGTAAACATAAGAAACATCCATGAATCGTTCACAGCTGTAGCTTCATCACCTGTGCCCAGAAATGTCTTAAAAACAAAATAGATAAGGCGATTATAAACTATAAAGTAACTTACGTCCCCAGACCTAGAAAAGCTCCAAACCCAAACAGTTGTGCTTTCTTATAGCTCAGAAGCTGTAGAGGGTGCATGGTATGGAGGTGCTCATTTTATCGCTTGCAGGGTGGCCGGGGTACTCGCGAAGAAAATTTCTCCAGTAACCGGGAACCATATCCCAATCAGCCACCAGCATATCAAGATGACCAGCACGGGCCATTGCACCAACCTCGAGGTAATTGCATCAGAAGCAACAAACCCTAATTAGCTAGCTAGCTAGCTGCAGCCTAAGCTCGAAGTTGTGTGGCAGTATCATCGGCCAGTCTCGCCAGACTACTTTCTTGAGATCATCCAGCATCGGGAGAGAAACCTGTGACACCTCGCAGTTCAAAGCCAGCCCCTGCTTAGCGGCTCGTTCATGAAGTCCCCGCTCCTTGCTCCTGAGGTTCGACACACCGAGTGGCGATCATCGTATGCAGAGGTGCTCGGGCTTGAACGTAACTGTAAGAGTAAGTCTAAGTTTAAGCCATGCATCGACGTCAAGAGGTTGCTGCCCACCGCCCCACCAATCTCTGCAGCATGCCTGACTGATGCATAGCCACGTCCAATGGTTTTAGCCAGCCTCAGCTAGCAAGGTTGTGAGAAACACTATGTCATTGCCGATCTAATCCCACAACAGCCAAGTGACACCCGATCCAATTCATCTCGTATCGAAGATATCTCTGAACCTGCGTGGGTCCACACATAGTTAGTGGGTTCAGCTCATGATAACAACATGCAGCTATCTAGCGGTACAAAGTGCCAATGCAATGCATTCTTCCAGCAGTCTTGCGGTCACGATCATGTGGCATCGAGCACAGCACACTGGGCTATCCAGCATGTTCAGATCGCGACGGTATGCTCCAATCGCAAGTCGAGGGCATCTAGCTATGGCACATATCTACCATTACCCCTGCTTCAAAAGCACAGCTAGGGCACCGGCTATCCCCCACAACGAAGTCATTCAAGGGTCGAGGGGTTCATATGGTTTGTTGGGTCGAGCAATTCTAGGATTATCAAGCCATACGTACAACCTTCGATGCAGAAGCGGTGTGCCCTAGTCCCCACAGTCCTCCCACACAGGACTGTTCTACTTCGACTCGGCAGCAGCTGCTTTGCGCTGGAGCTCAGCTGCCACGGCACGAACTTGTGCTCGCACCATCCTGGTGCTTTCGACCTGGGTGGACCGAGGGTTTCGGGTTTGGCTTAAGGAGGTACACATACTGTTTAGCTTGCAATCTAGCAGCCAGTTCTCTGCACTCCTCAACGAAGTCCTCGACATCATCATCCGCCACATCCCTCAGCCTCAGATCATGGGACCCCATTAAAACGATAGTGTAGCCAATGCTTGCGTGGATTGTATAGAGCTTCTAGGGTTGGCTATGTAGGCACAGCTAGGTAGCTCATCCATGGCGGTTTCCAGATCGCCCTTTCTCCCTTCCATTTCCGTCCGCAAAGCATGGTCCTTCGGCAGGTCGTAGCAAATATTGGCGGCATTGTACTCTTTCTTCAGCTCTTTGCCTCAGTTAGGAAAAGGTTCATTGGTTTTTATATGGGGGCTTTGAGGTGAGGTTCCAGGGGTTAAGTTAAGACGAACCGAGACACGGCATTCATCCACAAGCTCTTTGATCGTCTTGGGCGTTTGGATCAAGGCTTTTGCCTTGGCTTTGGCCTTGCCTTTTGCGGTCTTTTTGGGGGCGGCGGCATTGTCACCCGATCCTCGGTGCGTAGAGTCAGGTAGAGTAGAGCAGGAGTACACCACAACACCAAACCGTGCATGCCGTTGTAACCTCTATACCTCTAAGCCACTCGTGCTGACTCGGTACCCACAGCAAAAGCGTTCGCAGCAAGCTGCAAAGCCGCATCGGCGGCGCTCGAGGTCGTTCCAGGGCCCGGCATTCCGTTCAACTTCATCAACGGGGCCAGAGCCTTGGCACTGGGCTTCGTCCGAGCCTTGATTTCCCCGGTCTGTTCAACCTTCTCGGACTCTTCCACGTTCTTCTTCTTCCGGCAGAGGTAAACGATGGATTCGAGGCAGTGAGGGGCATCGGCATCAGGGGTTCCACCCTTTCTGACAATGCTTTCGATCTTGGTCCTTGGATGAGGAGTAGCGTAGCACAGTGTTGTGTTTCTGGCTGCCGATTGTTATATTGCGACCAGTGCATACAGGGTACGCACTGAATCCTTTCGCCACCATTTCCTTCACGGTGAGCTCCTCATAGCCACCCTTCACCTCGGCCGATTTCGTCTTCTTGATGATCAGCTGGGCCTCCGTGTTGTTCATGTTCTCGCCCTGCTCGAGCCACTTCGCGAACACTTCGTGCTGTTCCTCGGTTCGGGTGCAATATATACACTCGGTGATAGAGCTGTGCACACATGCTATAACTCTAACCCAACACCAGCAGAGAGCCAGGTTTCCTCTTTGGTTCCGGACCACAGCTTAGTCATTTCGGGGAACTCCGAGCCCTGGCTGTCCATTCGCCGACCGAACTTCATCCATTGAGCCCGGTGGGTCGATGAGTTGGGCCCCTTAGGAGCCTTCTTGCTGGTCTTGGCCACGGAGGTTTCGGCAGGCGGTTTGTCCTTTGGCGGTGGGGTTTCGTGGTTTTCATCCCCCTCCTCGCTTTCATGCTCCTCCCCATCCTCATCCTCCCCTCCCGGCTCCTCCTTCGCCTCGAGCTTCAACGAGGCTGGGGCAGGCGGTGCCGCCGGGGCGGCCGACTTCGCATCCTGCAGCATGGCCTTCAGCCTAGTGATCTCTGTCTGCATCGTGCTCACGAGACTTCGTAGATCGCTGTCGCTGCCAGTTTGAGAAGCACTCAGCAACCTCAGATCATTGCATCGTGGGATCAGTAATTATAATCGGCAGGCAGCAAAGACGTGACAGAAGGTCCGTAGAATAACTGCAGTGCATGACACCCTTCATAGGCCGGGTCCTCCCCGACACCCTCATTAACCAACGAGGCCGGGTGATCCTGGTATGCCTGCTCATCGGTCAGGTGGGCACCCAGCACCAAAGTACTCAGGGACCTCAGTTGATCAATGCGCTAGATCACTTCGAGTAAATATTATGTATACATAAGTCATCGGTTAGTTGTAAACAATGATCGATTGTTAAGCACGGGGGCTGCTCGGACTTCGACCGCCGGACACGATTGAACTTGTGGTTCAGGTCAAGTGGCTTCACCTATAGCACGGACATCACTTCAATGGTTCAATTGCATAATTCGTTAAGATTTGACAGCAACATGTACTCTCGGGCTTTAGGGTTTTAGGGTCTTTAGGCAGGGTGTTTAGGGCTTTTAGGGCTTTTAGGGCTTTAGTTAGAAAATAGTATTTTGTGAAGGGCCTCTTTGGGGCTCTCGGTCTGGGCTTTCTCCTTCGTTGCAGGGCTGGGGATGCCATTCCACGTGTTGGTCTTCGGGCTTGCGGTTTCAGCCGTTGGCTTGGCTGGCTTGGCTGCTCGAGGGCCCGCAGTGCTAGGATCCCTAGGTTCCTTTGCTTCCTCTTCCTCCTCCTCTTCCTCTTCCTCATCCTCTTCTGCTTCCTCCTCCTCCCCTTCCTGGTCGTCTTGCTCCTCGTCCTCACCTTCCTCAGACTCCTCTTGCTCCTCTGTTTGTTGAAGGGACTTGTCCTCCAACACAGGGCCCGGGTGCCTCTCCTCACCAGCAAGGTCATTCTCCGGGACCTCGAGAGGCTTAAGCACATGCTTGGGCCGGGGGCCGAGAGCCGCATCTCCATCATCTGCAGAAGCTCCTCGTACTGCATGTCTTTGTACATCGGCTTGTCATGAGCTTTGCAAGCTCGCCACACATCATCCAAGTTGTTCCAGCTCACAAGCATGTTCAGCCCCGTCTCGAAGAACTGGTCACCGAACGGCTCTTTAGGTGGAAACTCTACGAAAGGACCCAGCTCCTCATCGTCAGATGCCGCATCCTCGGAGGGGGGATCCTGGGGCTCATCATTGCTTGGTTTCTTCTGCTTGCCGGGCTTGCTGGGTTTCTCCTGGGACTGTCCCTTGCTGGTTTTCTGCTGGGGCTGCTCCTTGGGTTTCTCCTGGGACTGTCCCTTGCTGGTTTTCTGCTGGGGCTGCTCCTTGCTGGGTTTCTCCTGCTGGGACTGTCCCTTAATGGGCTTTTCCTGGGGCTGCTCCTTAAGGCTGGGTTTCTCCTGCTGGGACTGTTCCTTGCTGGGCTTTTCCTGGGGCTGCGCATGCTCCTTGCTGGGTTTCTTCTGCTCCTTGACGGGGTTGCTGGGTTTCTCCTGCTTTCCGCCCTTGCCGGGTTTCCCGATCTTGGTGGGGGGCTTCTCATCATCGGGCGTTGCTTCTGCATCGGCGGGTTTGCGCTTGGTCCGGGCTCGGGTCTCAACCTTGGGCTCCTCTTCGGGTTTCGGGGTCGGCTTCACTTTAGCTGTCTTAGGCTTCTTAGAAGGCTCAGCAGCTGCTTCGGGGCCACGCTTAAGCAATCCCTTGGATTGCAGCATAGCCATAACATCAGCCACCTCCGGCGGGCTTGCCGTGGACTTCTTTCCCATTGCGCACAAGCACAAGCTGAAACTGCTAAAACAAGCCTGGAGGGCCCAAAACGAGAAATCACGTGAAAAAGAGCATCAAAGTTCACAACCAACAGCTTTGGCACACTTAAGCAACGTGAAAAACAGTGAATTCGCATGAATTCGCACCCGGGGACGCTGCAGCAAATGCTCTGCGTGAAATCACATTTTTCACGCTCGTCTCACGGTCGTTTGGGTGTTTTTCACGTCCCTTTCACGGAAATTCACGCCCAGCCGGGTTAGCACACAGCATGAGGCCTTGAAGCTAGAAACTACCCCATTAAATCCTTTGAATTAATGATCGATCTCAAAGCCCAGGTTCAGCCACCCAAGCCGATCAGCGAGAGCACATTGGCCTGGGATCCCAGCAGGAGATACATTTGTGAATTATATGGGGTTCTAGTACTCTTTTTTCAATACGTGTTAAGCCAGGATACCCAGTTTCCAGGGAGCTCCAAGGATTTTGATTTGGAGATATACATGAGTACGTCCATGGCTTGAGCCTAGGATCGGGATCAAATATAGCAGGGAAGGGTCCGGAATGATCCAAGCACGACGTCGAAACCCTATATAAGTCAAATGAAGCCACATCAGCCCAGAGATCCCCCAATCCATTAATGCCCGGCTCCGACAGGCACTCCTGCACGAAGAGCTCGTAATCGGATTTTCGTAGAGCATCACTTCCCAAGCCCGGGAGGCGGTTCTGAGGAAAGAAGGGCTCCTCAGATCGAGGCTACGTACTAAAAGTACAATTATGTCATATGCACCCATACAATATAACTGCAGTAATGGTACAGACCGGATGCGTAGGAAGGCACCAGCCAGGAATTCACCAAAGCTCCTCGTGTAGTTCCTTAGCTCAGAAGCTGTATTGCGGCATGCAATCCGTGTTTCCAACGGTCTGGGCCTGAGCGGGTCCTGCCTAGGTGCATACATACTATATGTTGGTCGAGGATCTGAGAGGATTTCAATTCATCTCTTTTACCAATACGTCTCTTCACTCCAAGTGAATCCACATAATAGTGGCATAATGGCTTGAGTGTCGACATCTTGCCTGGCGACATCCTATGTGCCCTGTCCATCACGGCTTGGATCAGCTGTTGTTCGTTGCTCCAGAGCGTGTGTCGCTTGGCTGATGGCCCATCGAACATACCCATCCAGAAGCCTCCAGTCCAGACCTTTCAGCTTGAATGATTGTCGGCTTGATTGCATGAATTAGTTTAAGAAATTAACCCGTGGCCTGGAGGGAGCCCAACATTTGTTGAAATCGAGGCATAGCGGGCAAGAAAGACCGACAAGGTTGCTCCACCACCCATCGAAGCCCCCGAAGTTGGCACACAAAGATCAGCAAAACCACTCTGCTTGACAGCACGTTGCCCTCAGACACAAACGGAAACTGTTCGTTTCCATACGGTCGAAATATTGACCGTCCAGACGTATGACGGCACCTGAGATGTAAGATGATCGGTAGCTCTGATTACAATGCATGGCAATGACTCAAAGTCCCCATTGAAATTGCAATCGATATGCATGGTGCTGAAGCTTCTGCAGTCCAGTGCCAGCAGTACCAAACCACCCGGCCGGCAGCGTAGGATTTCCAGCAGGGCCAGACTTAGATAAGCCGGGAAGAATCCTGTGTTGTGTAATATACCTTGTATGGTGAAGCATAGGTGGTTTACTTTCGGATCTCCTGTAGTGAGTATATTTAATGGCAATTAACGATGAGACTATGATTAGTCTATCTGATTTCCATATTGCCAGAAGTACTGAGGGAAGGTTACATATGTATATATCATACATGTATAATAGTTTGTTCGGAGGTTTATTATAACAAACATCGAACAAACTATTATGTATGTACAATTGTATGTTACAGGATATGATACTTGTAGACGGTGCGACTACAGCTACTACAATATTATGTTGTCGCCGAAGGATATGTTCTTAATCTTTCGATCACACTCATGTCTGCTATACTCTAGACCGTGGAAGTATAACTACTGCACATGATATATTTTTGTGTGACATACAATTATTGGTGTTGAACTATTACTATCGCAACACTGCTATATACCGCTATACCACATAATGTTGCAATCATCTTGTGCATGCTAGTGGCCAACAAATAATTGCAACACAAGCAGCCAGAAGCCTGCCGGCTTGAGGAAATCCATCGTGTGCGGATCCAGCTCGATGTTGAGGGAGGTGCCGCGGAGTCCTGCCTGGGCTAAGTGGGGTTTTTCGAGACACGAGCATAGATTAGTAACCTCAACGGTCGTTTAAGTTTGATCGAGTTGCACGGCGTAGTGCATGAGATACCTCCATCTTACCGCAAAACAGCTCGACGAAGTCCCGGTCCTCCCAAAATGTAAGTTTGTAGCGCACACACACACATGTGCTAATTATACTCGGTTGGACAACTTATGGTCCTGAACACGCTGTGCACGAGGGTACCACATCAGCATGATGACGATAAGCATAAGGACAGGCGGGGCCCGCATCGCGAGCAGCTCAGACACAACCATGGTCACAACTAGGGGGCCCTCACTGAAACACCGGGTCCTCAGGCTAAGCTCAATGATCCATGAAGCACCCACAGAGCAAGCTCGTATTGAAGCAGAAGCACATGTCGCTTGCAACACACGAAGTCACTGATCTCCGGACACATTGCATGCTCACTCAAGACCACAGTCTTTCACACCAGAGTGCAATTTCCGGTTGAGCCCATTGCATGCGACAACACGTATTAAACGTGCCAACCTGCAGCAGATCGAAGCCCATAATAATTCAGGCACAGCATGCAAATTCAGCCCACACAGCAGCCTAGGCCTGTAGTCGAAACCATGACAACAAGCTGCATGATCCTGTGCTACGAGGCTTATATTGATCATGTAGTCTGTATATACAGTAGCTACAGGCCATGGCAAAAACGGAAAATCATGCCCCGCCCAGCTTCGCCTGCTTAAGGACGACCTCTTTGTAGGGGTTTGTGCTGCAGTTTTTATCAACGAACTTCCGCTTCTTGAGTTCCCTCAAGCTCACACCGGCCAGCAACCGAGCCTTCTGAAGCGACGAGTTCCACATCTTAGCTGCCTCTTTACTGCCATGCTGCGGAGCGTGTGTAGCAATATATGTCAATCGCTTCTCACCATAAAGATTCGGCACGTAAGCTTCGATCAAGTCCGGGTCCAGGTCCTCCGTCTCGGCCGCCGTTTTTTGGGAACCTGCCTTGCTCTTCAGATTCTCAACCTCCTGGGGCCCCGTTTTTTGGGAACCTGCCTTGCTCTTCAGATTCTCAATCTCCCCGGGCCCCGTTTTTTGGGAACCTGGCTTGCTCTTCAGCTTCTTAACCTTTCTGTTAGCGCCTTTTTTGGGCTTCTTGGGCTCATCATCCTCAGGCGGCTCGTCATGAACACCATCAGCATCCTCAGCATCGAAGGCCCCTGCGTACTGGCTGTTCAAGGGGAACCCTTTGGAAGGTTCAGGCAGCCAGGTGGCAAGATCAGCGAAAACCTGAGATGCAATCGATCGCTGTCTAAATGTTTAGCAGTGCTTCTCATGTACGAACCATGCACTGTAATCGGAGCTGAGAAACTGCAGTAGGCAGGCTCTTCTCGGGCTTATTGCCGGTGGGGATACGAGCAGGCTTGGAATCGGGACTCCCAGCAAAATCCAGCAAGCTTGCCGTAGTCGTGACACTGGACCCCGGACTCGGACCCGCAGGATCCTCCTTGCTCAGCAAACGAAGACCCTGAAGCTGCGAAGCCAAACGACTGACCTCAGAATCACGCACCGACAGGCAGCTGGACAGCGTCCCCGACGAGGAGGAGGAGCGGCTGCTGGCCAAAGACAACGTTTCAAAGGAAAGCATCCGAGGCCCCACTGCAGGAGCAGGCACAGCATCATTCGAGTCGTCATCGTCATGATCTTTGTCACCCTGGTCCTTGCATACCTTAGGTTTAGATGCAGTACATGTTGCGATGCAATCGTACCGATGCAACCATCACTCAATCAGGATGTGCATTGATAAAAGACAAGTGACCAAGCTAGCTATTCCCAGCCCAGCGATTCGCTTTCTAAGAGGGTTCAGCTTGCGATCTTTGGAAGTCCTGGCCCTCTTGCAAATCCGCCGGGTGCGGCCAACCTGAGCTGGCACACAAGTAACACTTGTCTTTTCCTGAAGTCACATGCACTGAACGATCGAATGGCACGATATCAATTATAATAGCAAAGCCACAAGCTTCTTCAAGGCATTCCCATGCTTCAGGGCCCAGTTTTGGGTACATTCAGCTTCTGCACATAGCCCAGCCGGAAACAAGCTATTGTTGCTGTAGAACTGAAGGATGGCATCCCGAAGCATGTAGGCACTCAATCGGCTCGCCCCGTTTGTAGCCTTGACCACTGCAAAGATTGCCTCAGAATATATAAGGGGGTTCCCAAACATCTAAATGTTTAGAATTGAAGTGGACCTGCATGCACATACTTCTATGCAATCCAAGTACATCCTGATTGCATCGCACATCTTTCAAGCTTGGCTTCTTCGTGAAGAGCTTGCCGGAGTGATCACACAGGAAGCCAAGCCCCACCTGCCGGGTCTATGGTAAGTGCAGGTGTTTGTGTGTGTGTGTGTGTCTGATGAAAACTAGCAGCTCTACTTAAGCTAAGTGTGTGCGCTTGTGTGTGCGTGTATGTACGTGTATATGCATGCATGAACGAATGTTTGAATCTATGGTGGAATCATTGCATGTTTGAACATAAGTACATTTGTACATGTATGTACTGTGTATGTATGTGTATGTATGTATATGTATATGTATATGTATATGTATATGTACATGTACATGTACATGTGTATGTATATGTATATGTATATGTATATGTATATGTATATGTATATGTGCATGCATGCATGCATGCATGCATGCATGCATGCATGCATGTATGTATGTATGTGTATGTATGTATGTATATGT